CGCAATTTACCGACTCCCGAATCGTGTAAGGCCTTGAGGTGAATCTTGTAAGGCCTCGAAATGGTTCCGCTGAACCCGGGTTCCCGGGAACCCGAGTTGTTATCATCGCGACTTGCCCCTCACGGCCGAGGCGTGCAACGGCGACCGCCGCTCGTGCAGTTCCGGCGAGGATCCCATCAGCAGACCCATACCAGACCTGCTGGCGCTGAGCCCCGATGGACAGTGCCCTTCAAAACCCCCGGACCTCGCGCCACCGCCACCACACGCATGGCCACCCGAGGCCCTCGTCACAGGGACAAAATCGCTAACGGATCCCCGTCCAAGTAGAGCTCATCAATGCTCATCGATGACCTCCACTTGGATGGGGATCTGCTCGCTGTTTGTCCGTGTAACGAGGGCCTTGGAGTTAAAGGTGCGTCTACACAGTTCGTCCGACTTCCGGATGGAGGGTATACGTCAAACAACCCCCCGGGCGCTCTGTCAGGTGACATAGCACCCGGCGGATTGCTTGGCGGACCGTCCGTCCGATAGTCGGATGAACCGTGGAGACTCACCCTAAGCTCGGTTCCGACCAACAACATGCACCACCACCAACATGCACCACCACCACCGACATGCACCACCACCACAATAACAACCACTACCCGAGACCCTCGTTACATGGACGAACAGCGAGCAGACCCCTGTCCAGGTGGAATTCATCAATGCTCATCGATAAGTATCGATGAACGTTGGTGACCTCCACTTGGATGGGGATCTGCTAGCTGATTGTCCTTATAACGAGAGCCAAGGAGTCGAAGGTGCGTCTACACAGTTCTCCCGACCGTCAGATGGAGGGTACGTCAAACAACCCCCCGAGCGCTCTGTCGGGTGACAGAGCGTCCGGCGGAGTACTTGGCGGACCATCTATCCGACAGTCGAACGAGCTGTGGAGACGCACCTTACAAAAATACAGTTACAAAATAAGTTAGGAGTTACAAAAGCGCCCCCCCCCCCCCTTGAAGGTGATTCGTCAAGCCCAAGTGACGTGGTCGAAGTGGCATGCGATAAATCGCATCGATCAGGTAAAAAATCTCGGTAAATATTGAATTTTTAGCAAAAAAAGGACGATAGCCACAACACATAAGCCTAAAGAATCATTCTAAAACCAAAAATTGGCAAAATTTAGAGAAATGAAAGCAGAATAGTGCTAGGAAAAAAACTTTGCATTCTATACAGAAATCGATAGCTGAATCGAATGCGAGGTTTTTTTCCTAACGCTATTCTTCTTTCATTTCTCTGAATTTTGCCAATTTTTGGGTTTGGAATGATTCTTTAGGCCAATGTGCATTGTGCAGGGCCTACCGTCCTTATTTTTGCTAAAAATTCAAAATCTGCCGAGATTTTTTATCTAATCGATGCGACATATCACATGCCACTATACGACCACGTCACTTGAGGTTGACGAATCACCTTAACTTCAACAAGCGGAAGAAACAGGCGTCCACCCACTCACGATGTCAAATCAAAGAAATAAATAAATAACATAACAAAAAAGAGAAAATATAATCAATTAGACTTTGACATAGGTGGAAAATGTTAGGGTGATTCGTCAAGCTCAAATGACGTGGTCGAACTGGCTTGCGATATATCGCAGCAATTAGATAAAAAGCCTAGCTGTAGATATTGAATTTTTAGCTAGTAAAAAGGGCGATGGTCCCTTGCGCACGAATCTAAGGAATCATTCTTAAACAATTTGCAAAATGTAGGGAATTGGAAGCAAAATCCTGATTGGAAAAAACATTGCATTCGATGTACAGAAATCGATAGGTAACTGTCTCAAATGCGAGGTTTTTTCCAAGTAGGATATTGCTTTCATTTCCCGACATTATGCAAATTTTTTGGTTTAGAATAATTCTTGAGGATCATGCGCAGAGGCAATCGTCCTTCTTTAGTCTAGAAATTCAAAATCTGCCGAGATTTTTTACCTAATCGATAGGATATATCGTATGCCAGTTCGACCACGTCACTTGGAGCTTGACGAATCCCCTTAAGATTAAAAAGTTGTCAAACACTAGAGAGGGTAAGATAAAGATCCAAGAAGTAGAAATGAAACAGGAAAATAAACAGCAGATAGGAGGGAACTGTGAATAATATGACAAGAAAACAGAGAGAAAATATAAGAAGAAAAGAGCAATGAGTAGAGATGAGGTAGCACATACAAAGGGAGTCAGAGGGAGCAACCGAAAATTAGGAGCGATTGAGGGAGCAAGTTACAAGGGTTTGAGAAAAAAGAACAATGGGAAGGTAATACCTAAATGATAAGCAGAGAATCGCGATGAGAAGAAAATAGGAATTTTTGTGAAAAAACGGCCTAAATTCTAACAATCCCTTGAAGTTAGAGAACTGAAGATACCTGACCTCATCATGGTAATCTGCATGAAAATGCAGAAACACCCTTAAAAATGTGGTCCGGGGGGGGGGGGGGGATACTTGAGGGCCAACAGTCGAAAATCAAGGAGAACAAGAAGGAAAAGGTCCTCATTTTTTTAAGTGGAGGGAAAGTTAATGGAGAGCCAGTGGGCGGCCGCTTGAAAACATGAGAGCTTGGAAGATTCAGCATACCTGAAATTCCAATTGAGACATCTAAGTTGCCGCACTAAGGAAAAACGCCTTACGAGCCATCAGGTGTTGCAAAATTCCTTGGGTAAATCACGAATTTTCGGGGAAAATTTGGGAATATTTTTCTTCCCGTTATTCAGAGAATTTTATTTGTGATTCGATCTAAAGTGTCTGAAAATGCCAAGGAAAAACATTCATAACTTTCTTCAAAAATAAGTATTTTCTTGGAGGACCCCCCCCCCCCTTCAAAAAAAAAGTACGTAACGCTGAGTCAGACAGCCCTCGAAATCCGAATAATGGTTAGATGGAATAGAAATGAAATAACCGAATAATAGAATACGGCGAAGAAAAGTTTCCTCGACATTACAAGACTCGCATTAAAAACGAAGATACTCGAGACTCGACAAAGTGGGCGGTACTCCTTACAACAGGAGCTGGACTCGAAGCCGCCAATCTATCAGAGGAGGGGGGAGGCGGCTTGCACTGATATAATCGCAGGAGGATCATGATACAACGAGAATGAAAAGGGAAGGGGGTGGCGGGGAGCGAGGATAGGAACGAGAAGTGAGAAGGTTCTCGACATTTTCCGAGAAAAAATTCGGAGAGGTAGGGGGGAGAGGGACCCAAGAGTTTGATTGACAAGGAAGAAGAGATTCGGCAGGCTACAAAGGACAAAATCGAAGTCACGGGGGAAAACCCCGAAGTCAAGGAGGAAACAGAGCGAGGGAATCAGAATGAAATGAGCTGAAATCGCTCGCTCGGGCTGCGGATCCCGAGAAAAAGGGTACCTTATCTACCTAGCAGACCACCTGCAGACAGCCAGACATCCGGTGGGGTGTCTCGCCCGCCTGGTCGTCGCCAATTTTAATTTCTTGATACTCCGCTCACTCCTTGTCCACGTAATCAAATCAATCAAATCAATCAAACGAAGCCGCCCCCCTATCATTCTAATTTGGCAAAAACCTTACTTAATTTGACAAGACGAAAAGAGTGTTCATCGCCTCACCTCTCCCTCCTTTCGACTCATTCTCTTGTAGGTCTGATACAAGACGCCAAAAATGTTCGACAACGTTCAAATAATAATCAAAAAATTTCTGCGGTGTGATGTTCAAAAATATCCAATTATGATTAGGTATTTGAGTAACCTACTGACGTCAAAACTGACCTAAATACTTTGTTCTTGTTTCTGGGAACATAATTGCCATAGGATTTTAAAAAAGGAGTTCCCTGAGAGTTTTTGGACTTCAGGTAGAGTTCCCTGACGAGTTCGAATATGCAGGATGGTTAAGAAGACAGTTAATTTGAAATAGTTTTATCGCAACATTTGTCGATGGAAATGTCAAATGCATACTAATTTCAGAATTTCACCTCAACTCTCTAAGGAAACCTTTAGGTCCAGATCCATTCTCTGGAAAGCTACTTGTAAACCTCAAGAAAACTTCTGAAGGGAAAAAGGGAGGCGAATGGAGATTTTGGAACCAAGCACCGATAAATAAAATATGTCTGTGCTCAAATTTTTACTGTGCAATTTTCCTCACTGCAAGAATGATAGAGGTCAATGAATTGCATTGTAAAGAGCTGGAGGGGTAGGAAAGGAATCTTGGATATGATACTCCATAATGCTCTATAATATTGTCACATTAACAGATTATTCAATTCTAAGGCCTAAATTGACGGGTACTTCTCTTGCCTTGCAAGAGGAAATAAGTACTTAACTGCGGCACCTAATTTATCTATTTCCAAATGGAAAAAACACACATGCCAGGAAGAGGAGAAAAGAACAGCTGAGAAATGGAAGAAACAAAGAATGCGGAAAGTCATTGTGTTGAATAAGTACATATGCAGAATTATATAGGTACACCGAGTACACACGCTGCTTAAAATGAAATACTTCGAGTGATGAGACGACTGCTGTTACCAGAGGAGGGTAACATGGAGCTATTAACATCAGATTGCCCATTCAGTTTCAGGGCAATCAACCTTTACTTGCTGACTAACTTGTGCATTTAGAAGACAATTTTGTACCCAATCATTGATATTGTAATGAAAAAATTGAGACAAGAATGTCCCGACAAAAAGTGATCGACTCGAGAAAGGGCACCTCTTTATCGTTATGGAAATGTTTTCTACAACATATGGATTGCCTGATTTCAACAGCTCTTAAAACAATTATGTGTAAATACTCAAGATACAATGAGAATTGGTTTCGCTTTATATCTTAGTGCAACATGTTAAAACTAAACAGTGATCTGTCTCTCTTGTGAGATTTGATCTGGTCATCTGGTGGACTTAAAGTGTGCCATTTCTCGAATGGGTCATTGAAATGCGTCATGAAATAATGAGAAGAATAATCCGTAGATGGGCAGAATTTAAATCAAAGTAGGAAAAGTATCTCAAACCTTGATTCCAGAACCAATCAAACCATCTCAGAGAGTTGAAAGCAGACCAAGTTCTCGAGCACGCTAGACTGTCATGGTTGAAGCCTGAAAACACTCGACCGGATCGCGAAAATTTTCACTCACGAATCGTTAATGCTCTGACTGAATTACACTTCACATACTAATTTAATGGCGAGAATTCATAAGAATTGGAGTCAAATTCCGAAGGGACAAATCCGATACACGTAATTGCGCGGGAACACGCGGGCGTTCATCACGATTGTTCAGTCACACGAAAACGCGACAAAATATTCCGAGGATATACTTAATCGCACTCCGAAAGTTCGTACGCGAGAATTTAAAGTCGGATGATATGCTAAAAACTTTGAAAAGGGGCAGTGAATGGCAAGAATAACGTACTACCGAAGTCGGCGGCATGATGTCTGAAGCGTGCCGGCAGGGTTGAAGATCACACGACGCGAACTCAGCGAAGCAACCGAACAAGTGCAAGTCTGCAAGTGAAGTGTGACGTGCAAGTGACGGACTGTGACGCGCAGAAATTGCCGCCAGCGAAGAAATGACCGGAGGGACTGTGGGATTGGGGAGGGGGAAGCTGGGGAAGAGACGCGAAGCAAGCACAAACATGAAAAAGTCACGCAGCAGCGTGAAGCGTCCAACCAATCAGCGCGCTAGATCTGCAAAGCTACAGACTTTGACACGGGCAGGGTTGCAATATTTCCTTGAAAAATAAAATCTCAAGTGAAATACATTTCATTCATTTTTTCAGAAATCTAGGACCTTTTCGGTAAAAGGGCGTATGAGGCTGCCTGTGCTGCTAAGATTATGCAACGTAGTTCTATAATAATTACGAGTAACCTATTCGAAAGCTCTGCCATGAGTTTTCCCCTAGATCTGTTCCGAATTTTCCCTCACAGTTGAGTGGAAGTAACTCAACTGGATTTCATTGCAAATGCTGTGAAAAAATTACACATCTTAACTTAGCAGCATTTTAAGGCTCATACGCCCTTTTACCGATGAAGTCTTCAATGTAGGCATTAAATATATTGATGAGGATAGTGCAATATTATATTTTCGACTCCAACGTTGAAGTGCATAGTACGTGTTTTGATCGTTATGCACCACAAATACAAAAATGTTTCTTTTTTGCATTGGCTGTGTTTTTTAGGGCAAGTTACATGATAAAGGTAGCCCCAGAAAAGTACGAAAAACTTCACAGCATCATGGAATTACATGAAATATTTTACTATTTCAAGCGACATAACAAAAAAATGGAAAGTGCCTAGTACCTATGCTAAAATGCCTCATGAGAGCCTCAAATTTTGCAATAATTTTCCGGGTTCTCTCCTAGACTTGCTTTTAGTTTTAGGGCATCCCTCAACCCTGGTAAAAATATCTATATGCACATCAATCTTGTCCTCAGTAAGGTGACATCGTTCTACAATAGGTAACCCCCCCCCCCCTTCAAAAAGAGATTTTCCTGCTGATATTTTGAAACTTAGATGATGTGCTAGCATGGTTTCATTCAGGTATCCATGCACAACAGAAACATAAAACTGGAAAGATCGCCATTTGATGGTAAAAGACTGATTTAGCCTCATTAGTGAATATCAATCATTGCTTAGATACTCGCCTTTCCTACATTTTGCTTACGATTCTCAAACTTTAACTCTCCATTATTATCTTTCAAAAGATGGACTACCTAGTGATGGAAAAGTAGCTGATCTAAGACAGAAAATGATTTAAATGATGAACTAAGTTGGGAAGCAAAAACTGTTTATAATTAAAATGCACACAGAAGGGATAACAATTGTTTTAAGTGGTAACAAGGAGACCTAATGACTTTGTTTCACAATTTTTAATGTAACAGTCAAATGAAAAAATTGCATGAATGGTAAAATACTTACCTACAGGGGCGGATTCTTAAATAAGTTTACCTATTATCATCTTGAAAAATATCAAGACCAGCTGGAGTATCATCAAACTAGTGTAATAGTGGACATACTCTTCGCTTTTCTATTGTTATAAAAATTTCCGTGAAGTATTGCAAATATATTGTGGACCTATCTCTCCTCCAAATTTCCTCACATTGCATTTCTCTCCAAAACTTCAGACAAAGAATCAGGTCATGTCTTCCAAAACATAAAGTGTACGTCAAAAAGTGTTTTTCAGTCAATCAAAACAAAAGAAAGATTACTCTCAAGCATTGAAATGTACTTCCTAAAACTGCTGCCTGATTCTCGCACAAAACATCAACTTTTGCATAAAATCCTTAAAAAACATGCTTTTCAGTCCAAAATCAGAAGTTCATGCAGAGCTGCCATCTCTGTGACATAGCTGAGTTGCTCCATCTTAACAAAAAGGTGCACATCATCAGATGAAAAATCTGGAAAATAAGAATATAGGTAAACCCTCCAAGATACCTACCGTTTCTTGGAGACACACATGGAAGCGTTTCAGCGCTAATGTAAAGGTAACAGCTTCGCTTCAAACCTTAACTCAGGACTAAGAGGCATGGTTTCTACAGAGATTTTGAAAGGAAGTTGCTTTTATGACTTGGAAAGTGAAAGAATCTGGCAGGTGATTTTGTCGAGGATTAAATTGCAATATTAGAGAACGATCTTTCTGATGTTTCCAACAACTTCAACTGCCCTCTTTTTTGAGGACGTTGACTTAGTGTTTGTGTAAAGTTCCACAGCATATGAAAAGAGGGCAAATTTGGAGAAGAGGTGGGTGTAGGAAACAGACAATTTCTCCGTAAAACTGTTACCAAATCTGGAAAACTATAGCTTCTTGGTACACTTACTTTTAATTCATTCTCATAAAAATAAATTTAAAAAAATACAGGGCACTAACACAATAAAGGAACAGCTTAGAGGGTGGGACTTCCAAGAAATATCACCCTTTTTTTATAACATGGGTGGTTGATCATTTTTAGGACAAATATGGATTAAATAGCTTTCTGACTTTCTTGATTTTGCTTCAATTGCCTAATACAGTTTAAACTATTAAATCCTAAGAATACAGGAAAAGAAAATGAGTTTTAACAGTTCGAACAGAACGAGCCAAAAAATTACATTTAAAATTAAAACTGAGCTGAAAGATAAACTAATGTTATCAGATACTTTTAACTTTAATGAATATTTCTTACTTTTAAATGAGACATAAAAAGTTCTCTCAATAAAGACTTGCAGTCAAGAAACAGTTTCTAAGACTCAAACAAAACAGCTCAAGATGAAAGATGTCATTAGGACCTAATTTTTTGTTTATTTCTTGTTGATACATACAGCAACCACATGACTTTTCACTCATTTGAAGATGATGACGTCTTCTGGAAATGAATGAATGTCTACGTTTAAAATAGTTGTGCACAGGTATTATGATTTCATCCTGTAATAAACTTATTCAAGATTAAAATTCAACATTCTACAATGACAAATTTTCAGGTTTCAATCCTAATCACAATTATACAGAGGACAATTTAGCAGAAAAAGTTCAGGACTTGAAGCGAGGGACTAGAGGAAAACTCTTGCTACAGAGGAATGAGATCAATTAAATTTTTTTTCGGTTGAGTCATGTCAGAGGCAAAAAATTCAGTGATCTGTTCAAAGAGTTGCACTCTCTGATGATGACCGCAATCAGTTTTCCTCCCCGGTGCATCTTTAGGAGTTTGGAACAACAAAGCTGCCATCAGTCGAAACTAGAAAATAGAAAGAAATATCATCAATTACAATAAGTGTAAATATGCACTTTTTTTCTACAAATCATTAAGTTACACAACCCTACTGAATGCTCCTTCCTCTGGTGAGACTAAAGAAAAACAAGCTAAGATGCTGAGGAAGAACACCCTGTGGATATTCGAACTATGTCAAATTTGACACAGTAAAATTCTAACACTGAGGAAAGTTATCGATATTTTTACTTGAAAATTTCTAAAACAATGATTTGATTATTAGAAAATCACTCTAAAAGTTCAAAGAAAAAGAGTGATAGATTTTGCCAGACAAATCTCCGGGAAAGTTTGAAGAAATAATATAAAGTAGCTTTCATTTAAAAAAATTAAATAGAATAGAAATTTGTTATGTTGTAAATGAAGATACAATTCTTTTAACTTCAGTCATTGATATGTTATACAATTTTTTTCAGTATAGCATTTAGTAATTAAATTAAAAGTAAACTTACTTCATTTGCTTGCTGTGGATCACTATGGTCTATAATCTCTGATAAGGAAGTTTGAAGGAAGTTGAGAGCACTGTATGTGTCTTTCAATGCCAAGTCTTGGAACCTAGGATCATTAAAAATACAGTGTAATCGACAAATCAAATGACCTTGGGAACCTCTAGAATCTAAAAATCTTCAACAAACTTTCAAACTACAGTAATACTCCGATTACCCAACCACTGACTAAGGCACTGGATGCGAAAAGGGCACCTCTCGGTTGCAGTGTTTTAGAGTCTCCTCTAATATTTCATTCATTGTAAGGAAAGTGAATGCATCCATTTTACTGCAAATTTTACTGAATATTCCTTATGATTCTAAAATTTCTATGGAAAGATTTCCGGAAAAACCACCCATTAAAGTCGTCTCCAAGGGTTTAATTAGCAACAGAGATTCTGATACACCGCAATTGGGAAGTGCCCTTTTCGCATCCAGTGCCTCAATTGTACAACATTTCAGTTATCTGATGCTACAAAGAGACATTGTTTTACTTTGAGTGGTTCTATGAGAAGTTTCCTCCTGCTATAAAAAAATAAGAAAAAACTCTACGGGTAAAAGTTTTTTAACTCATGGACATCAGGATGGCCTATCACAAGAGTTGCATAGTGGTGAAAACTGGGCAATATTTCTTCCAGCAATCTCAACAACGTTTTACCAACGTATGGATCAGGGTGGTATATTTGCACTGGAAAGAAAATCGAGACGTGAACTTGTGAAGGATTTAGTTACTTCAGTTGAGTTGCTGTCCATGCTGCTAACTGCTGATTGTTGAACAAGTCAGACTAACTTGTTCAACAATCGATGTGTGGTGACATTTCTCACAAGTCATCATATGATCATGGCACTGCTGTGCTTTTTTAATGAGTCAAACATAAAATTATATCCGTTTTATTCTCTCATGCTCCCTCTACACTTTGTTCTCTCTAGTATGAATCCAAGTGGATTTCAGGTCTCTCAAAAATAAAAAATATGATGGTGCTAAATTTGGGAGGCTCTATCTACGTAGAGTAACCATCAATGACATTTGGCATTTAGAAAATTTTTTCATTCCTTAGTTGTGGCAGAGTATTGGTTCATCAAAATTTTAAAAGACAAGTTCCAGTGATGTTTACATGTAAAGACTCAATCCAAATTGTAGTACAACTGGGTGATTTTCTACTTACTTATGTTTTCTAATTAAAAGGCTACAACGCTGTACAATTTGTTCGGTGGTTGGGCGGCTCAACTGGAGCTGCCAAAAATCGTCAAGGCGTAATTTCGGAAGACATGTGCGACCAGGATTTCCACCGAATAAGTAATGAACCTAAGAAAAGCAAAATTCAACATGTAGATGATTACAAATAATAACTAATGATGCATTTATCATACTTGGCTTGCTGTGAAAACTATACCGACAGTTGAGTTGTCTCGGTTCTTTCTTACATATTTTCTTTGGTAAAAAGAAAACCAACAAAGATATTAATTTAATAATTTCTCAGAGTTTTTTTTTTTTTTAAAAATATCATATCGAATAGATAGATTGATTTAATGACTATGTCATTTGACATTTGATACATTGTGAGGTCTTACCCAGAAAGAATAAACTTGTTTTGAGGTTGATCTCTATGTTGTGCTTTTTAAGTGCGCCACATTTTAATAGTGATACATCAAATGACATAGCCACTCGATTGGTCTATTGTGGAACGTTTCTTTCAAGCAGATCTGCTAATATTCTTCACGAAAATTAAATATCAAAGGCAAAACTGAAATGTTGTAATGGAGCCGTGCAGTTTTTCAAGCTAATCCTTCACTTGAGAAAACTAGAGAAACTGGTTCTGACCCAAACTCTAATGCATACAATTCTCCTAGACATTCTACTTTTCTTTGAGTCTAAAATGACCATAAGAAGTAATTTCAGTGAAAATTTTCCTACGATTCAAGTATCAAAAAATAAGACAAATTGAACTACTTATTAGCAAGACCACATTCAGGGTGAAAATAAAAAGTCACAATAAATGGATAGTTGGATTGAAAGGCACTTCCACATACCTTGTTCACATGATCATAGACTAATTGATGGGCAAATCTGGGACAAGGCTCGACATATTGCATGCGATTCCAATACTGCTCTCCCTGATTTTCATTCCGATAGATGCAAGACCTGAAGACAATGTTTCAAAAATTAGAGATGGCAGAAAATTAATTCCTTCGATGACTTTAGAAACGAATATAACAGAGAAGGGTTCCATAAACATCGTCATATCACCTTACTATTATTCGTACATCTTTTTTTTTATTTTTTTCTCATTCATTTATTAGAATGATATCTGAAAGCAATATAACATTTTAAGACTATGAACTAAAACGTCACACGATACTTTACAGTCCATGCAAAGCCTAGACTCAAAGATGGAGGCAGTGATAGGGTACAGATGAGACCCTGCTTTGAAAAAGACTCTTTTGTGCTTATTGTGAATGGCAACATTTAAACACAGTAAAGATATGCTTTTCCAAGACTGGGCTTGTTTGTCTCAATTCCCAGTGTGTCACTGCCCTGTTTCTTGCTAAATAACTTTTAATGAATAACTTACTCTTAATAACTCTCTCAATAACTCTACAGTAACTCTAACTCCAAATATGTAACACTCTACAATAACTCTAACTCCAAATATGAAACTCTCTACAATAATACTTTTAATAACTCTTAATAAATAACTTTTCTCCCCGACTGTGGCGCGGGCAATATTTGCCCGATCATTTTTTAGCATTTAAAGAACTGGTCCATTTATTTGCAGATTCAAATTCAGTTTGCATTGCTGATGAGAAATATTGACAGTGTAAGTTGGCAATCACATGACTCGGTTTGCAACGTTGCAAACTTCCTGTCATACTTTACTTTTTAAACGGAAAGCTACTCAACGGCAATTCTTTAAAACTGCCGTGATTTTTCTTCTCTGTGTGCATAAGATTCTGCAAAAACTTCAAGGAGTGTTGTCAATTTGTTCTCCATTAAAAAAATAACATAGAGGCGGAGATTTTCAGACACCACAAAGGGGATATGTGATTGCCGACTTACACCGTCGATATATATTATTACATGCAAGTATCTTGGTAGGTAATTGTGTTAAAAAAGAGGTTAAGTGGTACTGTATATTATTAGTGGATATTGTAAAACAGTTAATTAGAAAGCTACTACTGTACCAACCCTATAACAACATACCTATGACAAAATTTATTTTATTTATTTCAATTCCTATTAAAATACATTAGAATAAAAAATTTAGAACAAAATCTAAGATTACCTAATCTAGATAATATTTTCAAAATATTAATTTAATTGATTTTAATTAAGTTATAAGTGATACCCAAGAAGCTTTTTCTGAAACATTAAAGCACTATCTGATTCCAGTATTAGTAATCTCTCATCAAATTGTTCAGAATCCAATATGGTAAAACGAAAATCAATTTCAACCCGATTCTACTGAAATCTTTTGTTGAAATACACAAAAAATAAAAAGAGACCCACCATTGTTTCTGACGGATGTAATATACCCACAAAGAGTTTTGAACACTATCGTCACGTTTTTCCTTGTCCTTACTCAAGCCCTATACAAAAAAGAAAATAGAGGAAAAATTAAGAAACAAGTGAAAATAACAGCAGTTTAGAAAAAAAAAAAAACCACGGCTAAAGCGTGTCCAGTCTTGACTCATTTTCTACCAAGTCCCTTTTTTTATGAGCATTGTCATTGCACAAAGCGGCGATCAGTTCAAGTTGGTAATAGCTAGTGATAGGCCCCTTGATTTTATTCCATTACAAATAATTTATTCAAGATGAGGCAGCCTGCATCCACTAATATTGTTACACATACATTTAAAAGGAAAAAACACAGAATTGCCATATGAGAGAATCCCCTCTGATCATGCATCATGTTCCATGACAACGCGGCGACAATCAACTGACTCAGAATCATAATAGAAGTTAGAGCCAGTAAGTTTTAAAGAAATTTTTATAAGCAAACAAATATCTTAACACATTGCTTTAGCAAGTTTTGGAGAAAACCAGTTTTGAACCCTTTGTGTTTATTTAATAACATCACTGTTTAGACCGCCGAAAAGGCTTGTCTTTTGCGCCCATCTTTATGGAACAAGACAATCACAGAGACCAGGCTATTCTGCAACATACATTAGGGTCGTATTTATAGTCGTTTCTTGAACAGTTCCTTTCCTTGGAAAGCCCCAAATGGCTTATGCGGTAATTAAGGAAGGTTTAGAGAGACTCTTGACAAAGCATTGTGGAAAGGACAATTTTAACAATTCTTGAGTAGAATTTAACTGTGTAACTTGGGGAATAGACTGTTGGACAGGCTTAAAAAGATTTGCTGCTACAAGCAATTATAAATTAATAGAATAAATTTTGCAGATTATGAAACTTTTAAAGTAGGTTTAGACCTACCTTGAAGTTTGTGAAAATAATAGAATTTTCTTGTTCGTATTTTTTATTTATTTCTTGCGATGGCGAGTTCTTGTTATCCTTTCCAAGCGTCTATTTCCAAAGTTATATTGTTGAATTCTAATGGAGATTTGTTAAAATTGTCCTAACTCATTGCTTTGTTAAAAGTTTCCTTAGGCCTTCCTTGATTAAAAGGGGCTGTTTAAGGAACGACTAAAAGTACAGCCCCTAGTTGACCTGTCATAGTGGAGCATTACAACCAGCACGTCTGCCATAAAAGTAATAATAATGTATACTTCTTACACACTAAACCGAGAGGTAGCACTTGCACTGTAATTTTTGCCAGTAACTACGGTTCGCAGCCCTTGCAGGTTGCTTCTTTTTTTTTCCATGTTATGCAGTTTGACACAGACCTTAATGCAAAGACAGGCTGACAGTGAGGCTTTTTTCACTTTCAGCTGTCAGTTCCTAAGCCTTAAGTACTTCATTACATGAGACCTTGCAATTTGTGAGGAAAAACAATAGAGCCAACTTACTGAAAGAACATAGATTTCATCTAAATCTGGATCAATAGTTGCTCTTTGGGTGAATCCTCCCGCTGACAGTCCGGAAGCATCTTTCCTTGTTGTTTCAGAGAATTGCTCGATAGAGCCTGTGTCCACATCGTATGAAAAAAAATCATTCAGATACTCTTTGTTCCGCTGACCAGCAAAAACGTACAATTTTCTAGAACACTGTGACAGAAAAAAATGATGTAAACATGTATGAGTAACTTTTAAACAAGCGGAAAATCAACAAAAGAGAGCCATCTAACAAGAACTAGGGTCTGACTTTCTGCACAGAAGGATCATGTTGCTATGAATATTTTAATACAATTTTGTCGGCGGAAACCACCACACTTATTAACCACTATCTCCTTCCGTTCACAGAGGAGAGGACTCAAAGGACTTGTTATGTCATTGAGTTCAATAATCTACCTGACAAAAAAAGCAGTTAAAATCCAGTGATATTGATAAGAGTCCAGATAGTAATTGGCAAGGGGCAGAAGTAGAATTTTTATACAAGCTATTCAACTTACAGGATGGAAGAGCATAGAGTGACCCATTCGACAACGCAACTGAGATCCAGTGGTATTGATACAAGTCCAAATGTTCATTGGGACATGATAAGAGTAGAGTCCAGAAAAAACAGGTTCATTAACTGATGGCATATCATTACCTAGCCGTTCATCAGAGCCACTGAAAAGATAAAAAAAACAAAATTGTACCTAATCAAACAATTCTCTGAACAAATTTAGATGCTGAACAAAATGTGAGCATGAATTCATAGTTCAACAATAAAGTGGAGTAGTTAAATAAAAAAACTCTTTACATTAATTTCTGCCAGAAGAAAATACGATCTTATTTTATTTTAAGATTTGATTAATGTGATTCTGAATAAATCGCTACATACTTCTCTTTGAACATGGGAAGTATTACTTCAGTTTCTTGCAGTCCCATGGATAGACATAGTTTAGTTTTTTCTAAGTCTTAAAAAAAAAAACTAAAAATTTTACAGAGGGTACAAGAGCTTATCACCTTAAAATCCTTGTGAATCTGCAAATTCTTTACTAAATATATTCAAAAAGGCTGCGTTAGATACTTAATGAAATACTTTTTAAGCTAATACAACCCGCATTGCGCCACCCTTTATTTGTTTGCTGATATGAGGGTTGGTGACAAAAATTTGGAAAGACTACATACAAGGGAAATTTAGAAGAGACTACTTGTCACATTCATAAATATAATTTATATGCTTTCAACTCTGAGAAAATAACATCTAGAAAATTTGGTTCAATTACACAACATAATCCAGATAAGCAGAGGGGTAAATGTGCTAAAATAAGAGGCAGTATAGCGCAAGTTTACCTTTGAAATAAAGGAAAGGTGTTCGTTGCTTTGAACAAGAGGATTCAAAAATAATTTCATCAAAATGATTAGATTGAAAATAATTTGGAACACTAAAACAAATTACGAAACGGAGACAGCTAGTTAAACTGACTAAATTCTTTTTCCTGGGATCTTCAAAAATTACCTGATGCAAAGAATTTTTAAAAATTCGATTTACCTGTTTGTGAGTGTGAGAATTTTTCCTCCAAACACATAGATAACTGATTTTTGGACATCCATGCACATCTGATGATCAAAAATAAGCTGCGGTCCTCCTACAGATGCTGTATCGTCCGAGATAAGGGTCCAGCTGTTACTTTCGATATCATATACATAAAAATCACTCTAAAACAGATTAAAGTCAGACAAAGAATTTAACGTTTTAATTAAGAAAGGGAATCTTATATTACTCTTACTGCTTTAAAATTGACAATAAATTTATTACGAACCATTGCGTCCACAAGTTTGAAGGTTTTCTTTCATTACAAAATAGAGGAACTATTTAGAAGAATCGTTTGCCCTTGTTTATTAAAGAGAAGTGACATGAACTAGAAATTTTGTTGCAAATGCCAGGCGATTCTTGTCTCAAGAGATTATCTTGCAATTGAGTTTACTTTCTTGCTTACATAATGCCCTCCCAAGAAAAAGAACTGTATAAAGGGAAAAATAGACTTTCACCGTATTTAGTTTTATTTCTAATTCTTACTATACGCCTTCTGGGGCACATTATCATGCCACAATCATAACAAAAATTGAAATTGAAATGTATAAAAAGTGAAGATGGACATAGGATCAGTCCATAAGCTGCCATGTACTTGAAGCGAGATTGAAGGCAACTTTTTCTGTGAGCCTATTCTTTAGCGACACTGTGCTCTCTGTTAGCAAAGCAGCAGAAGATTAAAAGAACTGTCTACTCACTTTCAAATTTTCTGGTGTCCTAAACTGGATGTCTAAATACCGCCCTAGAGTAAAAATTTGTCTCCTTTCCGGATCGAAACAAATTTTATGACAGGACCTTGCACTGGGCCCACCCTGAAACAAGAGGACAATATTATTTTAATAAAAGATAGGTGACTTGCAAAGAGTTGATTGATAGGAATGAGGACATTGTATAAATGTAATTCAGCAAGTCATTAGGATCACATAATTTCCTTGATTTTAAAACTTGGTAACTTTCCAAGATTTTGTTGAACATTGGCTCTGAATATTCAGTTTGTGAATGGGCCATTTTCTTACAGTTTATTTGAAACAAGAGGAGATTACAATTTTCAAGTGCATGAAACTCCATTGCAACAATAGCACTACAACTTTGAATCAGGGGTGCAGAATCTTCCAAGCTTTTACATATTCACGCGCCTGGATTGGGCATTTTCTGTACCCATCCTTTAAATAGAAAAAAATTATTAATTTGCAAGTATGCATCTGCAAAACAAAAATCCAGAGGTTTTACAACTATTTTTTCCCTAAACTTGAGTTTTTCATGTCTTCTCTGACTTTGAAAGAACTTGTTTAAAAGTATTTGTGCCTACTTCATTACTTGATGGTTGCAAAATGCTGTCATACTTACATCAGACTCGGTGTCTGAGGATATTAGAGTCCACTGATTGCTAGGAATATGGTAAGACCAAAGATCGCTCAGATCATGATTGCCATCGTAACCTCCGATGAGATAGATAGTTTCTGAGACAACATCAATACACATCTGGTGGCCACCTCGCATGCCTGGACGTCTCCCTCCTGCACACTGCATAGGTCGCCAAATTGCTCTGTACTCTTGCTCTGAGATATACCTCTTAAAGAGGCCCTCTACATGGAAATGAAAATATTTCTTTAGATGAGATTCTCCAACTACAAGATTAGAATTATTGTTAAAACTACAAACTTGCCCTGTTCCTAGAGAGAAAAATCAAAAATAGAAACTAGGTTGCTTCAATTTTTATGATAGAACTATCCAATGATGGATCTGATTGACAAACGCATTTTTGACAGCTGATTGTGAATCTATTCCAGTTATCATAGAGTACTTGAAAATTTGCACGCAGAGTATTTTTCTTCCTTCATCAGTCCACGCTCTGTTTAAAAGGACGAGATTTGGAAAAATTCAGAAAATAACTAATGCTACTCAAGGTACTTTCAGAAGAGTCAGGTGAGAGGATTTTGAAAGGAAATTTTAAGGAAAGAGCTACTGCACCAGTAGTATAAAAACATGGAGGTAAATACTCGAAAAAGCAGAATAAGTGGAGTCAGCTGTTCGTATAATAATTTTTATACAATTTGAGGAGTCTTCTGTAGAGTTCATTGAAAAAAAAGGGAAAAAGAAGAAGAAGAAGAAAAAAACATTAGTAGTGATGACTAAAGTGTAAAACCATATATCTTCACTGCAGTGTTTTAAAACTTTCTGCTCTTCATTAATTTTATTCGAAGAAAAGCAAGCCGACTTTATGGTTTGAATTTTATACAGAATATTTTACTTACAGAAAGGAAAAATGTAGGAAGTTTTGAAGATATTATATTGACTTATTTTCAAAAGAAAAAATAACACGTGACGTGAAGTCTCCATTATCACAAACCAAGTTAGATTGTTTTGCACTTTGGTCATCGGTATAAAATTTATTTTCTGTTCATTTTTCTCTTCCTCTTGAAAAAGTCTTGAAAGCGGTACTCAAAATCAGTGGTTGCCTATTAATCACTGAAAATTTACAAATGTTTCACCAGATAAGTTCAACAAGGTTGGGTTAAAGAGCTAGTATAATTATCTTAAAACTCATACGACCTGCATATCAGTAGCTTTACTTGTTCACTTACACAAGGGTTGGTGGGAACAAAATTGAGACAACCATGTAAGAGGACTGTTGGGGGAGCAAAGTAAATAGTAATGTAGGTTTTACCTAAAATAAACACTAAGTTGAAAAAATAGATTGATTCATGCTCTGATTGACGTTTTTAAGTCTTCTTATTAATCAATTTGGTTTCTTTGCATGCTACCTAACATTTAACTGGATGGACGCTATTGATGAAAAACAAATTATTGATGATATTGATGATTTACAAAAATTAATTATGAAAAAACTAATCTATCAACTTACTTGTTGCAGCATCAGCAATAAACGTCTGAGCTGAATCATAGTCGCCTTGATTAACTAATATATCATACAAGTTGCTCAAAGCAGGATGCTCAAGCTTTACTTTAGTCTCACTGTAGAGGGCCTCTAATGCCCTAGTGTAGTTCATTTTTCGGAAATGTTTCATACACAACCTAATTAGTTCTTGCTCTTGATACTGCAAAGAGACATAATTAAATCAATTAATCAATTCAGTTTATTTGATAAATTAAAAAAAAGAAGAAGAGGAGGAAAGTTGAGAGCTCAATAAAGAATCCAGTTTACCTAATAGGTAAACCTTCCGCTAGGATTCTCAAGCAGTACTTGGGGAGAGAAAATATGGGAGGTGTGTAGCAACGAATCAATATCAACTATAGCACACAGTTAATAAGTACACTAAATCTTTTGAGCTTACTTAAGAGCACCTTTTGTGAAATAAAATATTTAGACATTATTTTGATATCAGAAGTTTCTTTAATAATTGAAAGGAAAATTAAAACTGAAGAAGATCATAGAGAAAACTAACCGTATGAAACCAGTCCATGCTCTGTTGAACCTGAGTCCTATCATCGATACCAGATAGTTCGACAAACCATACACTGTAATTAAAACTGGGGCCCCATGACTGAAGAGGCAAAATTTTGATGAATCTGCACGGAAAGTAATTTCCACTAACTTTGTTCCGGAGCTCAAATGTTTCAGGGTTTGAGTCATTTTTCAGACCACTAGAAAAAAGAAAAGAGTTCATAAAAATTGGCACTTTGGATTGCAATTTAAAAACCAATCGTAAGATTATGGTATGATGATGATTGGAAGGAAATGTGCGTTTGCCTACCATGTTGAATTCAATGTGGTTGAAAACATGGGCTGTCACCTCATATGACCACAAAAGCTACCACCCAATGAGAAATCTTCTTTTCAAGACTTCAACTTTAAGCCTCATTTCTTAAACCGAAGACGTTGTTTTCAGCTTTTGAAAGTTAGCTCAAATTAGCTTTCACGACAACATGTGTTTGTTGTTTGATTACAACTCAATTCAATTCTGCCTCTTTATAGTTGCTCCAAAAATAGGAATTTCAAGTACGCAGCCAAACATTATCGAAACAAAGACCATTCAGCGCCTTCGTGTCCCCCTTCCCACACTAGGTATCTGATTATTCAATAGGAACATCTTAGAAATGGCAATGTGATAGGAATTCTTGACACCAGACATTGAGTGATTACAGCTCAAAGTAAGAGAGGTCCAGAGACAATAAGGTAAAAGTGGAAAATATAAGAGAAGAATACCTGCTTAAAAGCTCAATCATATTGTCTTCTTTTAGGCCGCCATAAATTTTGAACTTCTTCAAGTTACACACATGAGCTTTCTCATACTTTCCAAATGTGATGGACTGGACAATACTGGTTGAAACTAATTTGAGAGTCAAAAACTGCAAAAACAGAGAAGAAACTTATTCAGCCATTCATTCTCATAAAAAAGACATTTTTGCTAGGAGCTGTTACTTTGAAGATACTGCGTTAAGTGTATATCATTAGAGAAGAGACCTTTGAAGAGTGATGTCCAGGTAAAATCAGACTAAAGAAAGATAGGTAGTAAAAAAAAACCTGCATGGATAAAGAAAACTTCATTAGGATTCTGCATTTGAAAAGATATTTAAATGTCATGAACAAGTAGAATCTACAAATTAAGATGGCTGCTCTGGAAATCAGTTGAACTGCCGACTTGAAATCAGGTATGATATTGTATTTTTCAATCAAAAATTACACAAAAATTCATACGGACATGAATTCCAATCCATTCTTATTGATTTTATACGATTATTATTTGTTTTCTTGTTGGAAGATGTCTCTGAAAGATTTTCATATGTTGATAAAATTTTTATAAAGTATTTTGTGTAAATAATGGGGTGAATTACCCAACAGATGAGTTAGTGTGCTTTTTAGGACATGGACTTACCTGAGGTGGATTGTTTGAGTCCGAGGACCAACGAGAAGTTTGATCATTAGATTTGTCTTCGCGAATATTCCTGCAATACAGTAAAATTATAAGTATCGGTAAGTACATTTATGTAATGAGAAAAAAGTAAATAGGTAAAATATTAATTAAATTTTTTAATATACCTGGGCATCAAAGAGAGCTATTTTGCACATGCCCACAATTATTTTCAACTGTTGACATTTTCAAATTCACAGCTTTCATCTTCCCAGGACTGACGTGGGGCTCTCTCAGGTCTCAAATAGACTTAACTTAAATCAAATTTATCACAGCCCGAAAGTAAGTTACAATTGGTCTTAAACCTAACTACTTGTCAACTTGATTCAAAGAAACTATAGAAGAAAAGACAGCAAGAAGAGACTTATATCGCCGCTCCTTTGGCGTAAGGGCATATCTCGATTTCCGCAGAAAGCATGTACTTACGTGTAAAACAGAGCTCCTGTGGAAATTGAGATACACCCTTCCCTCAGAGGGACAACAATATACTGAATGTCGGACATGAACTGAAAGTTTATCCAGCATTTCTGGATTGAGCAGCTTTATACATCTTCATCAAATTTAATTGTTTTGAGTACCTTGATTGCTAAAGAGTTTGATACGTTAGCCATGAATACAGGAGCTTCATGCAACCAAAGGCATACCTGAACTCTGCAGACCTGCCCTTAGAATAGCCGAGACTCTATAGTCATCAGGCCATGTTCTGTGTCAAGGGTAGAGTCCACGCCAAATAAGTTTACCTACACACTTCCAGACTGCGACAGAAGATCGTCTAACGTCACTTCTACGTGTAAAGTAAATGCAAGAAGTAAGATTGCAGATCTTCTATTGCAGTCTACTAGGGCGTAAAGTAATTTGGCGTGGACTCTATACAATTTTATTGACTGTCTAGTCTAGAATTCTGCAATAACTAAAGGATTCAGTAGATACATAGTTAACCTCTGAAGGTTTTCCCCATGCCTTCCTGACAAATTATTTTAAATTTTCACAGATGTGAATTGCAACAGAGATGAATGACAGCGAGACAGGGAAAGTTGATTATAAAGCATAGTAAAATCTATGAGGACTTATCGGAATCATGAAACCAGCATTTGTAATGCAGAGGGGAGTCACTTTGCTGTATTAGAAAAACTGGAATGAATCTCTGCTGACACTTTTATTCACACCATGGAGCGATCCAGGAATAGCTTTAGATTGAAGGGCATCAGAAAAATAACGCAGGAGTTCACTTCGCAATGTTAGAGCAGGGCAGTTTGCAACGTTTGAGGGAGATTAGTTTACAGACTGTCAGAGATCCCGAGGAAAACCTTTGGGTAGATGGAATCTTCCAAATACTTACTCTGGGACGTAGGTTGGCGAATAGCTTGAATAACTGTGGATAGTATAGTCCAACTTTTTCGTGAGCGGTATTTCGGCGGTAGCTGCAGCCATGTCCAAGGCAAGAGAAGAGGCAAGGACGAACTTCTTAGAACAGTTAAATCGGAATACGGAAGTAAAATACTGAAGAGATGCACAGTATGCTGCTTGCCGTAGAGAAAGAAGAGGAAGTAGACCCTTTTTTCTTGCGAAGCACCAAGATTTAAAGAAGGAACATTAGGTATATTACATTTTACGATAACTGATATCAATTGGCAAATACGTAAAAACAAATTTTATAACCTCAATATTTTTTGATGCAAGAACATCATTGCCAAGTGTGACACACATAGTTTAAAAATAAACAACATTTCAAGAATTGAATGTTTCTGAAGTTCTGAGCTGCTTATCCATTTGAAGCTATTAAAAAATTGACATGCAGATAGAATTTTACGGAAATATATTCATATCAAGCCAAAGTAGATAATTTACACAAGTTTATTGGCTCAGTAATCTTTGGGTACAATTTGGCAAAATTGCTGATTGGTAATCAACCATAATCTCTGACATTTTCTTGCCCGCCGCCAGGCGCCAATGGTTTTGTCAGTTTGCCTACAATGCAATTTGAAGGCAATTTGTTTAATTTATTTTTAATAGTGCTCCCTATCGCCCAGTAATTCTCAATTCACCCCACATTTTACTCTATTTTGTTTCTTATGGTAGTGTTAGCTCCTCATTTGTAGAATATTTACACCTCTGGTTTGCCGTAAGTAAGTAATCACTTGAGTCAGCACTCGTCTCTTGATTCGAACATCACTACATCATATTTGCTCTTTCACAGCCTTTTCTCCAAATTATTACTACCGGAGTCCCAGCGGATTTCATTATCCAGCTCTACTCTTACTCTTGTTTATTAGCTCTTCTATTAAATATTACGTTCGCGTCTCTTCTTTTGATAGATAGTCAAAGAGACTGAATGGCGATACATGTCACCAACTTGGTACTCTCTCATTGACTCTTGTATTTGCATTGTTTGTCTTTTTTAACAGAGAGAAACATTTGTACTTACTAGTATTTAAAAGTTAGGTGTCTCTCAATCTCTCACTGTTGTATTTGCATCATTTTATAACAAGGGAGGTTTTGATAAGGGACAACATAACCTGTAGCTCTCATTTTAGGAACCAAAGGCCATAGCATGTTATGATGGTGAAACCGCAGGAACGACTTTCTCTGTAACCCATCATCAATTTGATTTTACCCAAAGAGATCTAACTAATACTTTCGCTTCAAGTTCACCCAGAAGTAGGGGAGTTCAAACGAATTCTTGCCGGAACACTATCGATATCGTCTCTTACCAAAACTGGTGACAGTATCGACAGTGGCGATGATATCGTTAACAGCCGGCCTTATCGGATTTTTGAGAGCTCGCACTCAATGCGTTGTTGCCCCGTGTGTCGGTTTATCAAACTGCCTGGCGCGGCGGCGCGTAAATTAGATGTTCAAATGGCAACAGCGTATATTTTCTTCAGCTCCGAAAACTCTGATCACTATCGGCAAGAGAGCTCTTATCGTAACTTTTTCTTGACGGAACTGTTTCGTTAGCTTACTGACAACTGACAGAACAGCCCTACCCAGAACAAGCTTCATAATAGAATGAACTTCATGAGGTTTCAAGAAACACAGTCGACTATATTTCCATACAAAGAAGAAAGAATTAGAGACAGTTTGCAACCCCTAGAGGAAGCGAACCAAGATATAAGTTCATGCAGTCTTACAATCGACAATTGTCATGGTTCTCTTTTTGGTTTCAGTTTTGTTAAAGACCCATCATCGGTCGTTGTCATAATGGAGGAGACTTCGAAAACAACAGAAGACTCTACGGCTATAGCCACAGACCCAGAGTCGTTAGATTCAAAATGTGGCCCAGAAAACAGCACTAAGTTGTTTGAGAAGGTATGTTTTTCCCCTCTAATCTGTTGCATCATTTTAGGGATTTTGTCGAAGGTAAATCTATGTTAAATACAAGTTTTAACAAATATTCTGTAGAGGCAAAAGGTATCCAAGATTACACAGTTTATGCAAATATTCATCATCTTTGTACACAAAGTAAGCAAATCTTGGCAAATCCTACGCATGTGTAGTAAGTAATGCCAATAAAAAATTTGAGATAGATTCATAGAACGTCTAATTTTCCCACCGGAAAGCGTATTTATAAATATGAGGTCCTCTTTAAATTAACCACATGTTGCAAAAATGATAGGTATTGACTTATAAAAAAAAATCTCATCACACGCTTTATGAATTGGAAATATCCTAGTAGAACCACTGCAGACGATGTTTTCCGAAATCATGTGAATCATACTTTTTCTCTAAAGGATCTATTCAGCCAATGATGAACATCATGTTCATCGGTTGCCATATAAGCATCATCAATGAGCCGTAAATAGAGGATTGTGTGTTCTTCAGTTACTAGATGCACATTTAAATCTTGGTTCAGGACAGCTTTCATGATTGGATTATTTAGAAACTTAGCTTTTAAAGATATCGTATCGTTTGTTTATCATCTGAAGAATTCAGCCATCTAGTCATGGTGATGTGACCAACTTAACTGACGCTTTGTGGGAACTGTTTTTTCTATTTCCTGCTCATTTACACTAATGTTAATATTGTTGATGATCTTATCTCTAGCTCATGCAACTATGCAAGGAAGTTGGTGATCTGAATGATATGGACAAAATTGTAGCAAAATTGATGAAGAATTTCTCTGAGTCTTCTTCAGAGCTCAAGAAATCAACTGCGTTTTGTAAACTCCTAAGAGAAAAACATGCAGTCATAGAGAAAACACCTGCCAACAAATTTTTACATCTCAAACATATCAGGGATGAACTAAAAGCTCACAAAAAGAAGGTAAGTTGTCATATTGTTTCTTGAAAGTCTAAAAGGCGACCAAATTCTTAGAAGTGAGTGAAAAAAATGAAAATGAAAGTACAAGTAAAGTATAATTGAAATCATAATAAATGGACTACTACGCTTAAAGTATAATTGAAATCATAATAAATGGAATACTGGACAAGGTGCAAATTCAAACAAATTCTTTCCTCTAAACATTTCTTGTAGAACTCGATCTGTGCAAAGGAAACTATTGTTGGTATCTCCTAATCTAGATATTTTCGTTTTTCGATGCCTAAATTCAAACTTTGTGCTTATAAGAAAAACAATGATCTACTCTACTTAAATTGCATGCTCAACATTACTGTTAAAAGTCTCTACTTAAAAATGTGAAATTTTCTTTATACTTACTTGGTAGAATAATGTTTAAGGATATATTTTAAAATTGCCAAAGCATATATTTTCTCTTTCGTTTTTAGGGCCCATCAAAAGAGAAAAAAGACAATTCCTCCGATGAGAAATCGAGCATTAAATCTAATGGAGCAAAAGAAAATCATTCCAAAGTGTCAGATAAGAATCACCTGGCCACGAGTAATGCTGCAACTAATGAAAATAAATCTGCCAATAGTGCGCCACCCTCATGCTCAAGAGAACGGGAAAGTGTGAAAGACACTTCCAGTAAAAAGCTTGAAAATGAAAATGCCAAGAAAGATCGTCTAATTGAGCGTCTGGAGATAGCAATAGCTGTGAGTATCCTGAGCTTTCATCATTTTTCCTACATAATTAACTTCAGGGAAGCAAAAAAAGTTTCCTTGGGGGATTTCAGCCTCCAGTGATGCAAGACCTCACCTCCTTTTAAATATATTTCAAGGAATTAATGTCTTTAAACTTTGGAATATTTTGCCCCAAAATGTATCTACTATCCTAGGTAGAAATGTATAGTCTAAAGATGTCTATTCATATCAAAGAATTTNGGGGGGGGGGGGGGGGAGAATGCATTAGCAGTAGCTTACTACTGATGCTTAATACTGACTCACTATGCCTGGGGTACATTAGAATTTAAAGAGCCGAAAAGATAGAGATTGGAGGGCTGAACTGAATCTTGCTGTAACACAATTAATCTTGTATTTTAACTCTCTTGCAGATAGACTTCTGCTCAGTAAAATTTTGATTTGGATTAAATGAAGAGAAGCAAGTGTGTTTTCATGAATGATTCAGGGGAAAAAATAATTTTTCTGTCAAAAGCCAACTCTAGTTTTTTCAGCGCTAAGTCCTCCATTTACAGCTTGAGCCCAAAATTCAGTGAGGACGATTCTTGTCAAATGGGGTCTCAACTTCTAGTTAAACTGACAGTCAAAGGCAACTTCCAATTCCACCTAGACGAGAGTCTTGTCTCTAATTTTCAACCTTTAATACTTACTTAAAAAAGACTACTTGCCACATAGTGTATAAACATGATTTTTTTCCTCACATTCTACACCAGGCCTGATTATTCATTGTGACTTGTGGTATTACCTTTTTCCATCTAGAAACTCCATCATAGAATTAAGCGATTAGACGAGGAAGAGATTGATCTTGATGCACTCAGTGACGATGAAAACTCGCCATACATTCGAAAGGCTCGGTAAGCCTCCTCTTGCATTTATCCCAGTGTTTTTTTTTTCATTATTACAGCAAGTTATTTGTTGAAATTTTGCTTGCTCCCATTGGACAAGAAAAAGGAATGAGGTTCCGTTATTGGTCGGTGACATGATTTTGGCGTTAGCACCAAATATTTATTGCGCCAGGTAATGAAGTAGCCAGGCGCCTCCTTGGTGGCTGAAAACCAGTGGATTATCTGGCCCTGCAAAACCTCAACGCAAAGCTGCAGTCACGAAGCCGACCAATCACTTAACTCATTTCCTCTGTAGTCTTGTTTTGTCCAAGAGATGAAAACAAAATTTCAACTTTTGCCTCACCGGATGAAATTAGAAGGTGCAGGCAACAAATTATTTGAAGAGAACTCTGAAGTAGTTCACAATCATTGTTCCATATCGGTGGTTTTATCAAATAAGTTAAGAAGTTACAAGTAAAATTTATGTTTCAACTATTGATGACAGTGCCTAAGAATATACACAAATGGTCATCCCTCTTCATCCATTTTATTCCTAATATGTATACATGCCTAATACAATAAAGGCTAGACAAACAGGGCTTAGTTACAGGGAGAAGTTACAAATGAAGTTCAGATTGAGAGAATCGCTTTCAAAATACTGAAAATGAGGAAGCACTAAGGAACAGATAAAGAAATTTTCACGAGTGCACCAAACTTGATAAAGCCGTTAATATTGAATGCAAACATAACAAGACATCCAGGTATCATTACAAAGAATATCATGAGAAGCATCAATGAGAAAAACACAACTTGAAATCTATGAGCCAGAAGGCGAAAGGAAAAGCTAATGTATGTAACTGGTCTACAAAGTTAATCATATAGTATACCATCTCTTCCTTGAGCCATTACCATTGGATGGCAATATGGCAACAGTATAACTAGCTTATCATGGAAAGCATCAGGAGGATGATAAAAATGATATATGATGAAATTATAAACTACCATGACCTGCTTATGATGCTTTAAGGTGATTTGATGGACAATGGATTCGTGTCAGAACAGCATGCGATATATCGCATCAATTGGTTCCATTTTTTCAGGTGGTCGTCATTTTTCTCCAATTTTGAGATCGCAATTCTGTTGTCAGGAGATTAAAGCACTCACTTACCAATTTTAACAAAGAAATTCAACGTAATAAAGGCGTGGTTTTTTTAGAGAGAAAACATCATATTTGATACTGATATCGAAACTGCACTCGAATGCGATATTTTCTCTCTGAAAAAACCACGCCTTTATTAAGTTGAATTTCTTTGTTAAAATTGGTAATGCGAGAACGAAATTCAATTACTTGCCATACAAATTCAAAACATTGTTAAATCCTGTACCCCACCGACCAAAACAATGCTTTACAGTTTGAAGATTCCTAAAGACGTTAGAGAACTAATTAGACAAAGGAGAAAAGCCCGAGCCACTTGGCATACTACTAGATATCCAGGTGACAAAACAATCCTTAATAAAATAAATAAAAAACTCAATAGCTTACTCTGGAATTACAAACATGAGAGTACGAAAAAATTCCTTAAGGGTTTAGATAACAAACCCGGAACAGATTATTCCCTATGGAAGGCAATTAGATATTTAAAAAATACGCCAATTCATTCACCCCCAATTAGAAAAAAGGACGGAGATTGGGCCAAAACAGAAATAGAAAAAGCAGAGGTATTCGCTGAACATCTTGCCAATGTGTTCGCTCCAAATGAAGACATACCGGGAGTAAATCTCGAACAGCTAGAAAAACCGGAAGTAATACCGAATAAAAAAATAGCTCTAATAAAACAGGAAGAACTACTTAAAGAAATTAAATATAAAGTTAAGCGTAGGAAATCTCCGGGAAGAGATCAGATTGGTGGTGAGATATTAAAACAGCTCCCAGGTAATGCAATAACTAAGCTTTGCTCTATTTTCAATTACATGCTAGAAAAAAGTTACTTTCCAAAAGTATGGAAAGAAGCCGAAATAATTTTAATCCCGAAGACAGGTAAAGACCACACTGAACCCAGTTCTCATAGGCCAATCTCCCTCCTTTCAGTTATAAGTAAATTATGGGAACGCTTATACCTTAAAAGACTAAAACCTATACTTCTAGAAAATAATGCGATCCCCAACCACCAATTTGGATTCCGTGAAAAGCATTCAACAACCCAACAAGTACATAGAGTAATTAACTTAATAGAAAAGACACTAGAAGAGAAAGGAGTTACAGCTGCCATATTCCTTGACATTCAAATGGCATTCGACAGAGTCTGGCATCAAGGACTAATCTTCAAACTGAAAAGCATTCTACCGATCAACCACTGCGATTTAATAAATTCATACCTGTCAAATAGACAATTTAGAGTAAGATATGGAAGTGCATATTCGGAATTTAAAACTATATTGGCCGGAGTTCCCCAGGGGAGTGTTTTGGGGCCAATTTTATACCTTTTGTTCACTAGAGACGTGCCTGAAAGTGGTAAACTTCTAGGAACATTCGCCGATGATATTGCAGCTTTGGAGACGGGTCGGGATCTTCCTGAGGCCACTGTCAAGTTACAAAATACTGTTGATGAGGTTGTGAGCTGGACTAAGGACTGGAGAGTGGCTCTCTCCAACCCAAAATCCGTTCACACTGTTTTCACTAACAAAAAAGTTAACTATATTCCTATACTAATTGAAAATAAACCTGTACCATACTCGGATTCAGCAAAATACCTCGGAGTCACGATTGACAGAAAATTGATTTGGAAACATCATATCAAAAACAAAAGAGAACAACTTAATGCAAAATACAGACAAATGTATTGGCTCTTGGGAAGAAACTCGGCCCTCTCCATAGCCAATAAAGTTCTCTTATACAAACAAGTCCTTAGGCCTGTCTGGACATACGCCTGTGAACTATGGGGCTGCACTAAACCGAGCAACAGATACTTGATTGAGTCCTTCCAGGCGAAGGTGCTACGGTCAATGGTGGATGCCCCATGGTTCACAACTAACGAATCAATTAGGGAGGAGCTCGGAATAGAGTCTGTCTCTGATTATATTAAAACAGCTTCCTACAAGTACTATAATAAACTTGAAATTCACTCAAATCCCCTAGCCAGGGACCTCACCATAGACGACCCGGTAAGGAGGCTAAAGAGGATCAAGCCTCGCGACTTGGCCTTTGGCGTCTAACTTA